GAGTTTTTCAGAAAACTTTCTAACAGAAGGTTCTAGGTAACAAAACCGACTTTCAGAAAACTTTTCCGGTAAAATTTTAAAAAAGATGAAAAATTTAATGCATTATTTGAAGACGAGGTTTTTTTGTCTCATTTTTCATTGTCTCCACGTGCGAAATTTACCAGAAAACACAGCAGCTTTCTATCTTCAGTTTTCGAAATTTTTGCGGTTTTTTCCCTCAAATTATCCATAAAGCATTTCGTAACTGGCGGATCTTAAAAGCTACAAATTTCAGATTGGAATAGTAGTGCACGAAACGCTGCATGCACTTGGCCTTTGGCACGAACAATCACGTAGCGATCGCGATGAGCATATCTGGATTAACTATATCAATATTTATCCGGTATACAGCCTTTTCATTCATCCCTGCCCTTCCCTGGAAAATGTTAGAGCTCCTGACAAGTCGAAACACAATAAGCATCCCGTATTAGTGATGTTGCTTAGATGCTCCCATACACCAGACTCAGCGATGCTTAGTTCTTCGATCCTGAACTGTTATGCTATTACTGCTTGATCAGTGTGTTTTCACCGTCTCTTTTTAATTTACAATATATAGAACAATTCTGATGAGGAATGTTTGTCCACTTGCAATACTACTAGAGCTGAATTTCGTCAGGACGACGGCTGTGATATAGTAAATAAAAATTAAATAACAACTCTCAATAGTTAATAAAATGATGAGCTAATTCTTGGAGGAACAGCTAAGTCTGCTGATAAAATGTGCCAAAGTTGGATCTCTTCCAAAAATGGTGATTCCTAAAGTTTGTTGACATAAACTGACCGTTCTGCTCTGATTCTCTGCAATTCTGTCGTAATCCAATAAATTGTTGTATCAGTAAGTGCCACTGACCCTTCCCCTCACCTGGCATTTCATCTTTTTCGATGTTCTCCACTCCCTTCACCTTTTCTGGTTTTCAAAAAATTCAAAAGAGCTGAGCATCACTGCTAAAAATTACCGTGCGAAATACATTCTCCACAGTTAGAAACAAATTAAATTATAAGAAAAACTCCAAAAACAAAACTCACTTGCAGGGAACGCAAGGCAATTTTGAGAAACGAACAACACTGAATAGCGATAACATGGAACAACCCTACGATCTTGGCTCAGTGATGCATTATGGATCGCGAGCTTTCACTACCAACTTCGATAGGTTTGGACTGCTAGCGTTAATCATTATTACTGTTAGCGTTAATTATTATTACCGTTTTTGCTACTGCTATTATTAAGCTACGTGAACGGTGGCTTACAACAAAGTGACAACATTTGAACTGTAGAGGTATCATAGAAATAGAGTACAACATTAATAGTTAGTGGAACATTAACTGTTAAGTGATGGTTTCCGATTAAAAATACCAAAACCATTCGGGCAATCGCTCTGGGAATCTCATATCAGTGATGTTGTCGCGAAACTCTCAGCTGCCGAATGCAGCTAGCCAAAGCCCTGCGACCCGGAGGTCCCCATCGCCAGTTAGTACCCATCACTTTTTCGGTCTCATCTCCGTTTATAGCATTTCTGTAAAGCTACAATAAAATTGCATATCATCTAGTGGCATATTTTAGATTTCTAAAAGAGCTTATTACCCAAAAATTGACGCTCATTACTTTATTCAGCGTTTTTTTAAATCACATTAGAACAAAGGTTTAGTGCTTATTTTACTGTCGACAAGAATCAGTTTGTACTATCGAACACCTAAACTTTGTAGATCAATTTTTCTTCAGCCTTCTGTGACCGTTATTAATTGTCATTGTCAGAAAACACTTCAGTAATATTTATTAGAAACAATTGATACATAAAGCTAAGCTCTTAACTAAATAAAATTCGGCGTTTTTTAGTAAATAAAAAGGCACCTGTTT